CAACATGAGATTAAGTAAAGCACCACAAAATATTTGGATGATATAAGGTGTGGAATATATATATCTATACAACAGTACACAAATCAAATCTACGAATGTCTTGTCCATATGATATTTCATGCAAAAACTCAACACTTGACGCAATGTTACTATACATATTTTTTTTGTTAAAGAATCTTACTATACATATCTCAAGAATCTTTCTAGTTATTTAACTTAAACGTGTGTATATACACGGATAAGTACTTACATGAATGTATATATGCGCAGATTTTACCACAAAATGCTAGTTATGTTGTATATATTTCATCACGTTTTCACTATAGTGCATGTACTTAATTATGTAGTCGACAAACTAGTATTTGTATATGAAACTATAAACATGTGTAATCAACCAATGGAAATTACAATAATCCTTGAACATCTTAGGATGAAAATTATATTCCCCAAGGACTACATGCAAAAATTCCACATAAACTATAACACATCAACTTATTTATAAACCATGAATATATAGGATTTAACAAAAAAAAGAAAGTATATATGTAGGGTGACTATATATGTATTTATTCAGAGGCATGTATATATAGTAATTGACAAATGATTTAGGATCTAACATCCCAACAGAACGATCATGAGTTTATGAGATCTACAGAGATATACCTGATTTGGTAAAAACCACTTCAACTTACAATCCAAACCAAACAAAGATATTGACCAAAGGTTAATAACAGAACAAGAATCTAGAATTAGTATAAAAAAATGAAAAATTAATGAATCTGTGATCATAAAAAGTCAAACAATGTGAAAACATATCATACCTTTTGTTCTTTTCTTTTATTATTATTATAAATTGAATTACTATATGGATCAGTCCTTCTTCCATAGCTAGCTTCTCTTTATTTTCTCTGCCCATAACCTGCAAAAATCTCTTTACCCGAGCAAAATTACAAGAGTAACCAAACAAACAAAATAGGACCATTAGAGAGAGAAAAAAGAGAGGCTTTTTTTGGACCTGCCCATTAGCTTAGAATGTACCATGAAACACTTTGTCAGTGTAGGGAGCTAGACACAGAGAGTACAATTCATGAAATTTATAAGCTTTTTTCCCACTCATCAATTATAAACTCAAATTATATCAAAAACCGAAAAAAACAAAAAAAAAGATGATGAATGACACTGTTTGATTGATGAGATGCTATAGCTTAAGCCTAAAGGCAGTTTCACAAAGTGTCAAGTAGTAACATTAATATAGAATTGAAGAAGATGGTGGTGAGTAAATTAAGAATTATAGCGAATATTATGGATATAATTATAAAAAATATGAGACAAGTGAACATGTTATTT